CTTCACCCGAAAAGTTTGGCTGAAATCAGGATGGTGCCGAGCCGGACTTCTTATCCCGAAAAGTTCACCACTGCCGAACCCGGACGACATCATCGGAGAGTGGCACCCGAGTTCTTGACGTATCGCTCCCGTCAAGGGCTCTGAGCAACCCTACATGGAAGGTCTTCCTATTCTGCACGCTGGCTGTTGATGGTCACTCGGTACGCGGGCGTAAAAAAATACATCGCATCACACCAAGCATGGAGACGCCGAAAGAGGCCAAACCGCCACGAGACGGAAAAATAGCCCCTTTTTGTCAGAGAGGGGAGGACACCGCAACTGATTTCTGGCAACTCCAAGACCAACAGCCTCTACTGGATAGCCACGCGCCCGTCGGGAGGTGAGATAAACAAAACTTGCAATTGTGCCCCTGCGGTCGCAACACGCCCATTGGGAGGACACCGCAATTGATTTCTCGCTCCCTAGGCCACCGGTCGAAGACAGACCGGTCAGGGTGTGCTCTCCGTTCCTTTCTCTCTGCCGGGGTAGCTTTGCTCGGCAGCGCGTACTCTCGATCGACGGAGAGAAGCATGCGCGAAGTGCCCGTTGCTTTTTCGAACTGTGATTTTTTTCTGGCCTGCTTCACTTGAGAATAGACTGATGTGTTGAAGGCCTGGAAACAATTTCAGAAGACAGCTTGTGTGCACGCAGACGACGATTTCGAATGATTGAACCAACGAGCTGCTGAGAAAATCTGCTCCGGCAGAGAGCAAGGAACAGAGAGCACGCCCTGACGGGTCTGGCTTCGATCGGTGGTCTAGGGAGCGATAAATCAGTTGCGGTGTCCTCCGCTCTCTGACAAAAAGCGGCTCTTTTTGCTGTCTCGTGGCGGTTTGGCCTGTTTCGGCGTCTCCACGCTTGGTGTGATGTGATATTTTTCTTTGCGCATGCACGCGTGCCGAGCGACCATCCCAAGCCAGCGTGCAAGCCAGCGTGCACAATAGCAAACCCTTCAGCGTAGGATTGCTCGGAGCCCTTGACGGGAGTGTTTCGTCAAGAACTCAGGTCGAACTCGCCGATTCTGTCGTCTGGGTTCGATCTACACCCACCCCCAATAATCCACCTGAGAAATCCGGTCCACTGTAAGAACAGCCGGACTTTTGTCCAGCCGGAGTTTGGCCAATCCTGGAAAGTGAAGCTTTTTGGATTAGGGATTCAGGTGTATAAGAAACAGCCTTCAATCGGGAATATTTTGCCGCTCGTCTCTCTGCTGCTCTAATCCATCCACACATCACACGATTTATGCCAGTCTCTGTCTCCCCTATCATACACCATCAGTCTGTCTCTCCCCTCTCGCATGGCGCAGCACCATCTGTCGAGGGTCTCTGGCGCCTCATGTTCCTTTCATTTCCACTTCTTCTCTTCGGAACGTTTCTCTTCCGAATTTTCCGGGCGAGGGGCGGGGTTTCTTCTCAGTTCCGACAATTGACATACTGCCAGTCAGCTGCTCCGCTATGTGAGACGTCGATGGACCCGTTGTGCACGGGATGGATTGAAGCTAAAGGAACGCCCGTCCAAGCACAACCACGCCACCCCCACCAACACACTGACGGGGCATGGATTGAAGCTAAAGGATGACACACTTGTCGCGGCCAGCAGTCGGATTGTTTTTGGCACAGCGTATATTCAGCGTCGTCATTTTTGTGGCATAAAGTGTCCAGTACTAATACTGTGGCGTGGTGTGTTCAGGATGTAAGATTTGTGTGGCACTTCTGTGGCGTGGTTCCTCTGTGACAGGTGTCGTGTGTGAGCTTTTGCGGTGTCGTTTACCGAGTACTGCCGTGGTTCCTGTGTGAGGTGACGTATGTGAGCTTTTGCGATGTCGTTTACTGAGTATTGCCTTTGGGCCTTGGACAGCTTCATAGAGTGTGTCGTATGGCTACGGCATGTTGCACGGCATGTTGCACCATTTACGGAATTTGCCGTGTCTTCATTCCATTTTGTGCGTGCCGTTTTTGTTCTTTTACAACCAATTGATGACACACCACCATGACGGCGTCCATTAGCAAACAATCCAATTTCAATTTGATCAAGAATCACGTATCTTGGATCCGATCTAATGAGCGGGGCGGCGGAAGCCCCCAGACCCCTTGTACATGTACCAATTCCAGACTATTGTGATGTCGCGCAAAACAGTCACCATCACTCTCTTCATGGCATACGCGACGGGTTCAACAGATCGCTCGATACCAGTACCCAGGATGATAGAGCCCGCAACCGCGACAATCCCCCCAAAACACGAATTGAACGGCAGCTTGGCACAGCATCGGATGGTGACTTCCGCACCCAGTTCACACAGTTTGGCCACGACGCACTCAGAAGGTACATGAGCAAAGTTCTGCCCCCACCCTAAGACCGCACAGCTGTCGCTTGGAGCTCCGGGATCAAGCCTTCGGAACGGCGCCGCCCACATCTCACCAGGTAGTTGCGTCTTTCGTGGAGCACCGGGCGTAGCAACCGCGGTGGTGACTCCGGCCGACTACTTCGTGCAAACGCCAATGGACTACTTCAGAAAGTTCTCAGCGCCCGCACTTGAAGGCTCACGACCGTGCATGTGCCTGCCACATTTGAGTCCGGACCCTCGCAACGGGGAGCGGGGCGGGTACACGTGCACACGCTTTCAAGTACAAGGGAGGCTTCCGCCAGCCCAGCGAGAGCCGCCTACTGTACCGCCACATGAGAGATTCTGGTCCCAGTTAATTTTTGCACCCGCTCTTTATCTGCTGCTGAACGCATGTGGTCGGCTTTTGACTTTCCAACATGGAGCAGATGTTGTTGAGCTTTCACGAACCTTTACACAGTCGTTCGGAAAGAGAGCTTCCACCTACTCTCTTTCATTGGGCCATGAGTGCGACCTCCGAAACTGTTGTTCCTCGACAAGGGCACACAGCCTGCCCCTCTATCCGTTTTGCGATGGGCGAAACCCAGCTGCTGGAAGCCATACACATCACGGCTGTGGGGGCTGCGAGGGCGTTGGGCAAAAGGACATGGTCGTCCAGAGGCACCGCCGCGGTCTGCTTCGCCCGGTGCTCCACCAAAGAGGGAGGTACCGGCGGCTCGTGGTGAGATGCGGGCGGCCGTTGACACCATGCCGCTCTGACCACGTTCTTTGATTCCGCCGCGCCTCGGGCAAGAAGACCCAGAGGTTCTCTCTCACCATCTCATTAGCGTATATTGCGCCGGTGTTACTGTAGGATCAACGCTGGATCAACGCTGATCTCGCCCATAGTGGGCCGATCGTCGGCGGCGGCCTCCGCACCTCTGTGTCCTCCCGATGTATTACATTGTTTTACGACACCAAATATTCGGCTGCCTCACACCTTCTTTTCGCAAGCAGAACTCCACCGCAACGACCCGTGGCCGCCCCAGTGCAGTGGCTCCGTGTGTGGAGCGGCTCGCTGGACGGACTCCGGTTGGCTCGAACTCTGCATTGAACACATCTCCGCCTTATTTTGCTGGCGAGCTCCTTGTGCCTGTATGCATGGGTGTTTGTTGAGCGTTACCCAGCCAGCTGCAGAGGGTTGTCCAAGATGAAGTAACCGGCCCCTATGCATGCAAAAAACCTGCGAAGACTACTGTACGTACTGTAGACTACCGCCGCGGCGGCAGGGTGGCTGGTGGGTATCCACCTTGAGGGGAGGGGGACAGTTGGACAGTTGGGGACGTGTGGGGGCACCGAAGCGATGAAAACCAACGTGCAAGTACCCATGGAGGTACGTACCATGTGCGACCCCCCCCATCAAGAGCGCAAGAGCGCAGCACCAGCCGCACCAGCACCCATCACCACGACCTTTACCACAGAGCCGGAGCTAAGAGACAGCAGACAGCAGCAGACCTTCGACCGGTGAAAGAGGCCGCAGATATCGGTGAGCCACTCTGTTGCCGCTTGGTTCCAGCAGGATTGAGCATTGCCGTCGCGTGTACAGCGGCCCGTTCTCTGCGAGAATCCGGACGCCAGACGGACGCACACCATGCGCAGGCTCCACCGTCATGCCGCTACTACTGTAGGCGTAGCGGGAGCTACAACAGGCAGGGTTCGACGAAGAGATTAGTCCTGGCTTTGAGGTTCTGACAAGGAGGGGGTGAGAAGTCCACGCGAGAGGAGATGGTGTCCATCTGGTTTTCACACCCGCCGACCACCGCCCCGCTCTATAATGGCTGATGGCAAACACCCTCGCCGAAAAGGCTATAGATCCGACTTCGGTGTGTGACTACATTTGTATGTTTTGTAGCATACTGAGCCCCCTCTTGCTACCCAGATTTGTCGCATCCTTTGCTATCGGAGGACAGCATTGTGCACGGCGATGAGTATAAGATTCATCCACGCGTAGGCGCTGTTGCTCTTCCTCTCGATGCGCTGTGTTTGTTGCTCGGTGTCAGAGCTAGTGACTGCTGCTGTAGAGCGGCAGCGGAACGTGGCACACAAGCAACAAGGCAGAGCCGAGCACACCGTGTAGTACATGATCCCCGTGCTGCACTTGTAGTTCATAGCCGGTTGCTCTGCAAGAATGTCATCCTTGTTCAAGCAGGAGCAAATTGGTCTCGTTTGAAGGATGCTGCAGACAACTAGTTTTCGTCGGCGGCCTCGATCGTACAGCTGTACGCACAATAGCAAACCAAATAGCGCGCACGACGGAGTCGAGCACCCGGCCATATCTACCGACAGCAACACATCAGCTGTGTAGTGGGGTCATGTTGTGAAAGTTTAAAAGCTTTTTTTGTATCTGATGGTGTCGTGCGCATCAACCCCTGCTCCGGATGACACCGCTGTAGTGGGTGGGTGGCGTGGTGAACTCGAAACAGCGGGCGAAGCAGCCCAATTTCAGTTGCAGCGAAATAATAGTTGCCGCACGTCCCTTTCAATTGGCCGCGTTTTTTGCAGGTGGAACATGGCTCCTTGCAGTGACAAGGCGTCTCAGTCCAACCCGGAGGAGGCCGCCGCCACGCACGCCTCCTTGGTGATGGATGTGGACTTCGACGGCCAGGTCATTCAGGGGTCGGTCGAATACACCGTGGAGATCATGGTGAGCGTCGCATACCCCTCTCGAACTCGAACAGAGTATTGGCGTACCCTCTCGAACTTGAACAGAGCAGTAAATATGTCTTATAGTGGCATGTATACCACACAACGAAAAACCTGAAACAGTTAAGAGTGGCTGGCATATGCCCAATGAAGCGTGGGATGTCCCTAGCGTCTGAAAATATTACACGCAGGTTGCGGTTCTGAACGTCGGTTGGACCGGCGTGGGCCTTACCACTCTACTCGCCCAAGAAGCTCGTGTTGGCTTGCGTTCGTTCACGACTGTCTACGGTTGACGCTCGAGCCGAAACCACCGCGATCTGCCGACATGGTAATGCTGTTGCGTACTCATTCAGCACTATATGTCCACCTGATGCAAGATTCTCACCATGAAACTGAGCGTACAGCCAGCGTTTGGGGTCCCAACACCAGTTAACTCAAGGGCGAGCATGCTTGCACCCGCAACTGGCGTATTACGTAGTAATCTTATGCCGCTGGTGCGCCTGTTCCTTCCCCGCCTGTCTCAACGAAGGCGGACGGCGCTACGGCCTTCATCCTGGACACGAGCATAATCACGGTCGGGACGGTACTAGTGGACGGCGAGCGCGCCCGCTGGGTGCAGCACCGGCGTCACAGCATTTACGGGTCCGCCTTGGACATCCGCCTGCCGGGAGCGGAGTCGGGTGCGCCGCCGTACACCAAAGGACAACTTTTGCAGGTGTGTGTGTGTTTTCCGCAGGTTGTCACGCAACGTTACGGTTTGGGCGTGTGTTCGTGTTAATTGCGGTCGCTTTGCGGCAACAACCGGGTGCATGCGTTAGTGTGCGTTGTGGGTGTTGTGATTTTGTGGGACATTCTGTGCATCAAGACAGACATGTTTCCTGTAAACTGGTGCAACTTCGGTAGATTGTAGATTGTGCCACAAGATGGCCGTGGTGAGCGACATTGGGGATTGCCGTTCTCGAAAGTAAAATGTGTGTTTGTGTGCGTCTTTTGTCTCTACATAGCACGGCATAGCCTTCGCGGCACATGGCAATTTCTGCACCGAGGTACTTGATGAAATCGTCCCCTCCTGCGTGCGCCTACGCCGCCCAATATGAGGTTTTCTAAGGCGTATGACAACCCGACCACCAACAGGTATCCGCTTTTATCTCCAAGAATAGCTCTATGGTTGTCTGGAGAAGCGTCATGACCGTGGTCGAGCACAGCATGACTCCAACCGGAGCAGTAGCTGCGGCTGGTGTTAGACGAAGGACCACATTCCACAACATCGTTTCGCAAAAGCGCGCCCCCCCCCTCCTGGCGTGTGTGAACAAGCTGCAGTGCCACAAAGCAGCAGGGGCGGATGGGATAGTCAACGAGTTCATGAAGTTTGGGGGGAAGGGGATGATCCAGCTGATGGTACTGGTGTACAACTGGGTGTGGAAAAACGAGTATGCGCCAAGTAGATGGAGGGAAGGAGTGGTTATGGACTTGTTTAAGAAAGGAGACAAGACTGGCCCAGGAAACTACAGGGGAATCACACTGTTGAACACAGTAGGAAAAGTGTTCCGTAAGCTGCTGAAGGATAGGATAGTGGGAGTATTGGAGAAGGAACGTCGCATTAGTGAGGGCCAGGCAGGTTTCCGACAGAAGAGGGGGTGCGTAGACCACGCATTCACGGTAGGGAGAATCATCCAAGGTAGAAAGAGGGCGGGAAAGCCGACGTACTGCTTCTTCCTGGACGTGAAAAAGGCATACGATACCGTATGGAGAAATGGGGTGTGGAAAAAATTGTCCAAGTACGGGATCAAGGGGAAAATGTGGAGAGTGCTTAAGAAGATGACAGAGTGTACGAAAAGCGCGGTCATGCTAGACGGAGAACTGTCTAAATTCTTCGACATTGAGCAGGGGGTCCCACAAGGTTGCACGCTGTCCCCAACGTTGTTCCAGGTGTTCATCAACGATCTGTTGGAAGTGGTAGACAAAAGACTGCTCGTGGAATGCACACATGCCCAAGGTAGCGGGAAAGGGCAAAGCACGAGCAGGGAAGCTGCACCCAATACTCGCGAACCGGCACCTCGATACTCGCATCAAATTGTCGGTTTTGAAGGGCGTAATCGTACCGCCGCTAGAGCACGCCGGAGAAGTATGGGAAGGAAATACGAGGGTAGTGAAAGAACTCGAGGCGGCGCAGATGAAAGCAGCGAAAATCATCCCAGGATGCTCCAAGCGCACAAGTAATGCAGCCGTCAGGGCAGAATTGGGAATCCAATCCCTACGGTCGGGGAGAGACGCAAGGAAGCTGACATGGCAGTATCGCATGGGCGGGATGGGAGAGGAAAGGTTGCCGAGATTAGTATGGGAGGCGGAGTGGGCAAACAAAAAGAGGGGTAGACAACCCACGGAATGGGTCAAGGTTGTAGAGGACGTATGGAAGGGGTTCGACATCGACGAAGATGAAACGCTGGAAACGGAGGGTCTACAGGGGTTCAAGAAGAAGATATCTGTTGCTTGTGCCAAGAGAGAAGAACAGAATCTAAGGAAAGAAACCGAGGATAAGGAGGGTCTAGATGTGTACGGAATGTTGAAAGAAGGAATAGGGTTCAAGGATTACCTACATGGACCAATGGATGCAGGGACAAAGCTTAAGGTCAAAATTAGGACCGGGGACGTAGGCCTTCGAGAACTTCGACGAAGACATAGGACGGTAGACGACGAAGACGACAAGTTCAAATGTGATTGCGGCTTCGAATGCGAAGACCGTGTTCATGTAGTCGCGGAATGTCAGTTGTACGAAGAGGAGAGGGAAGTGTACATGACTGAGCTAGGAAAAATACAAGGGAGGTACATGGAGATGGTTTGAGGCATGGAATAGAGAGGAGAGGACGGTAGCTGTACTAGGGAGTAGGAAGTGGTTTGAAAAGGCGGGGAGGGATATCGTTAGGATAGGCAGACTAGGGACGACATTTTTGAGCCACCTTTGGCAAAGTAGGAAGGGACGATTGGCCATCGGTAACCGGTCCTGTGGGAACAATGCTCCGTCCTCTCGAGGACGCGTGGTCAATGGTTAACCGCTAAGGCATGCAAAACATAAGAGTACGCCCTCCCCCCCTCCTAGATAGTTTCCGCGTCTGGTCGCTCCGACAACTGGTTGGCGTCGCGTTTGTTGACTCTTGTTTCGTTTCGTGTTTTTGTTATTTTTCAGGTCAAGATCAGCTTCTGCACCTCCCCCCGCAGCACCGCTATCCAATGGCTTCCGCCCGAGCAGACCCACGGCGGCAAGCGGCCCTATCTATTCACCCAGGGACAGGCTATCCACTCTCGCAGTCTCTTGCCGTGCCAAGACTGTCCCTCCGTAAAGGTAAGAAAAGGCTTTGAGATGTTGGCAGGGTGGGCGGGGGGGGGGGGAGTTCAGTAAGGAAAAAAAAAAGGTCCGCCCCGAACTGTTTTTATCGTGTGCGAGAGGGGTTAAGGGGACGTTTCTATGCCAGAAGTGTAGCATCGGGAACAATAGAAATTTCGACCTATGCGCCCTCTGCTTTAAAGAGGCTGCTTACTGTTTCCGTCGGAAGGCCGGGGATTGTGACCGACTGGTCGTGCCTATTTGACCCGGAGTCGTGTCACCCATGCCCAACTTCTCCGCGCGAGATTGTGCCCTGGATGTAGGCAACGTAGCGGGGCGATGAAGAAACCTAGCAACGTTGGGGCCACTGCTGTTTCGGTTTTCTGCGCTCTTTGTACCGGCCGGGAAGCTTCAACTTTTGCGGCACCCCCGCTCTCTGCCGTCGTGAATCTGGTCCGGTGGTTCACGAAATTGGTGTGTGGCAGTCCTTATTGCCACACGCCTTGTCACGACTTGGATCGAGTAGGGTCTTGTAATGTGATAGCCGAATTGCCCCGTCGTTGCCCCGACAACCCTCCCACGTGAGTGGACCACAATAAGATGATGGTCGCAATACGCCGAACCGTAATGCAAAAATATGAGCACCAAAGTAATGCGATGAACTAGATGTCTCTCTATCCCGTACCGTAAAGCATGGAACCACGGTGTTCCTCTATTCGTGTCGAAAGCAATACCCGGCCAATGGTCAAGCGACGTGCATACGGCAAGTAGTGACCCCCTCCCGCCCCCCCTGGAAATCAGATCACGTACGAGGCGAAGGTGACAGTCCCGGCGTGGGCGACGTGCCTAATGAGCGCGCTCGAGTCTGCCCAGCCCCAAGCAGCGGGTCCCGGGAAGAGGACTTTCTCGTGGAAACAGAGCGTGCCTATGCCCTCGTACCTCATCGCCGTCGCCGTGGGAGAGCTCGAGAGCCGCGAGATCAGCCCGAGGTGGGGCTTGTGCGCGTGTACTTTTAATCCCGTTGCCTTGAGTTGGCGTCATTCCTTGATGATGCCATGTCCAGTTCTGTTTACGGGTTGCTGGATTTTCCAACACAGCTCGTTTTTCTTGCAGATGCCACAACCATTCTGACGGGAGTGATGGCGTGATCTTTGTGCGAGGTATTAGGTGCCAGACGCATGTTGAACACATGCTCGATTTGCCTCGTGTCATCAGCTGTACCCGACCGGAAGCAAAGTACGATGCCCGCCCCTGGCCGTCCTCTCACGCCAAAGAAACGTGTGGTCTTCCCATAACGCTCATGGCCCGGCATTTGGATGGGCTGCTTCACTGTCACCGCCAACTCCTCTGGCGGCGCCGTCCCGCCTTGGTTGCCGTTCCCAACACTTCGCCAGGTGCTGCATCTGGTCCGAGCCGGGAGTGGTGGACAAGGCGGCGTTCGACTTCTCGCAGACGGAAGAGTTTCTGACCGCGGCGGAAGGCTTGGCAGGCCCGTACGAGTGGGGGCGCTACGACGTGCTCTGCCTGCCTCCGTCCTTCCCGTACGGTGGTATGGAGAACCCTTGCCTGACGTTCGTCACCCCTACGCTGCTGGTGAGCTAGCTATCTCCGCGTCTTTTTTTTTTTTGTGGTGGCGGTGGCGAGGCGATGGTCGCGGTTGTGTCGGTGCTGAGCGCCTGTGGACCGTCGCACCACGATCATTGAAAGGTAGCGCTCGGGTGATCAGACCCTTTTTTGGCCCTGGTGCGTTCCGCACTAGTTTTGGTGCACGATTGTTGTTCTGGGTGTTGAACTTTCCTGCTTCTGCTGCCGCTGGCGCCGTTGCCGTTTGACACCACGGCTGTGCGTCCTCTCTCACATTCTCTCCCACTCTCTCTCTTCTCATTTACTTCCTCATTCGTCTAATTCGCCTTTCTCTGGGTCCCTCCTCCGATTCGTTCCCGGCAGTCCGGGGACAAGTCTTTGGCCTTCGTGATCGCCCACGAGATTAGTCACAGCTGGACGGGGAATCTCGTCACCAACAGGTACACAAACAGGCCGCAACACTAGTGGTATTGCTTTCGTTGCCGTCGTTGTGGATTGGGATGCTGTTTTGCCCGGTTCCCCATTTGCCATCAGCCTTCTACGTGGTTTGCTTTGTGGTTGGAATTAGCACGCCACAGCCGTGATTTCAAAATACCACATTATCTATGGATAAAATGGAATTCCTTGCGTTAAACGAAGGGGAAAAAATACAAAACGGATCGTAAACAGGGCTGATTGCGCTCGCTTGGGGTCGCCCTGCTCGGCGAGACTGGCTCCGTTGTCCGAAATCCTGCGGCCATTGGCCTTGTCAACGTCTTCAGGCGTGCGCTTCAATTGGGGTGGGCGCACGCTCTCTTGCCGCTGTTGTGTTGCCCATCGTGGTTCGGCGGAAGTCTCTTGGTGTGTATGTTGACTCACCGCAGCTCTTGTGCCATCGATGACGTATATTTTTGTCTTGACTTAAATTCCGCCTTCAACCCACCCCAGGACTTGGGAGCACTTCTGGCTGAATGAGGGGTGGACGATGTGGCTGGAACGCAACATCATGACTCAGGTAAGAAGAGGACTAGTCGTGAGCTGGTCACCCCAAGCTGCTCCGATGCACAGGCGTCAGTAGCGCCCCCCTAATCTTTTTGTCGGTGTGAGAGCAGGCACAATGTGGATGAATGAGTATTTTTGTATTCTTTGGCTCCGCGCCCCGTATTTTGCCGCACCCTCTCCACGTGTGCGGTGCCTGCAGGAAACGTGACAGGACTCGAAATGCACAAAAAAAAGTATTGTGTCTAATTCAGTGAGTGATTCCTTTTTGGGGCAAAACCACACAATGTTGGTTCACCCTCCCCCATCTACATACACGACACAACACCCCCCATGCCCTCGGTTCAACGGCGTTCGAAGTTCTGTCCCATGCTATCAGCAGACTGCACGCCGTGCCCCTATCTTCGCCCTCCCCGCTTTCCACGAACCATTTCCGTCCCTCCTATTTATGCACCTCCCTATTCCCCGCCAATACCAGGTTACTGGAGACGCTGACTACTACGACTTCGACGCGATGCAGGGCTACCACAGCCTCGCAGACAGCGTGTCGCTGTTTGAGGGCACCGGCGCCCTGGCCCTGACGAAGCTTGTCCCGGATCTTGACGGGGTGGACCCGGACGATGCCTTCAGGTGAAACCATTAACAGTATGATTATAAACACTGCTGTGGCATGGTATTTTTTTCCCTTTATTTTTTCGTGGGGCGGGTTGGAGAAGGCACGGTACGGTGTGATCGTCTCCGCAACGGGAGTTCGTACAGTGGAATCGTCGGCACAGCAGGGATGTGTTCGTTATGTTTGCGCGTGATGAGGTTGTGGAGACATGTCTCATGATTCACCAAGAGGCGGTTACTAGGCAGATCGTCACCACGTTCTTCTTCCTGCTGCTATCAGCAGGGCTGTTTTTTAAGGTGGCGGCTTTGGTTTGTGGTCGCCGTCTGCCATTTTTCTGTTGTGTGCTGCTTGCGCCACTGTGCGATGTGAGTGGGATGGCGCAACGCAACGTTTTCTTTTGGAATTATTGGAATGTACGAGATTGAATTCGGTCCGTATTTTGGTTTTTTCTGTCGCCGTTTTTCAACAATTCGCCCTATTTTGTATGGCTGTGCCTTCTCTTGATGATGAGTAGACTCTCACAACTAGGGCTTGGTATGTGTGTTCCCTCGTTGCCCAACTATTTTTGTGCAGCTCGGTACCGTACGAGAAGGGCTTCGCGTTGCTCAACGAGCTCCAGAGGAGGGTGGGAGTCAAGGAATTCCACGCCTTCGCAAAGGAATACATCAAGGAGTTCAGGTGACTTCCTCTTGTGATGAGCAAACAATATCTTCTTGAACTCATCACTCCCAGCGCTGGATATCATCTACGTAGAGCGTTGTCTCTCTTGTTTCTTTGAACATTGTTTAATGTTTCACGCCTCCGACCATCAGCAGTGCATGGAAGAGCTCGGTAGCGGTGGGATGATACCACACACGTTGAGTGTTCGGGGACGAAGAGGTACCGGACAAAGATCACAACGGAGTTTTTTTTGGAAGGCAGCAACAGCAAGCGACTGGCGACAGTTTTGAAATTGTTACCCTCCTTGGGAAACGAAAGTGTGTGATTTGACGGTCCAAGACGACAAAAGAAGAACAATCGATATACGGCCGAGGCATTTCATTCTCTGTTGTCGGGACCGGCCTGGTTGGCCATTTTGCGTAGAGAAACATCTGGAAAGGCAAGCAAGACGGCGATATTTCTTGTCGTGAAGATTTTTTCGTTGCAATCATCTTGTTCATCCAATACCTTTTTGTTGTGGAAAAACTACTATTCCGGACGCAAAATGAATACCAATTCCACCCATTGTCCTTCAATGTGCGGCCAGGCGGAGTACTGTGGACTCGGACGAGTTCAAGGCATTCTTTCTAGGAAAGTTCCAGGACAAAACAAGCCAGCTTGATGGCTTCGACTGGGACGCTTGGTGAGTGTCGACTGTTGTCGCGCGGGTGGTATCGAACGAAGCACTGTTTTGGGCTTGGGTGTTTGACGATATATTGCGTAGGATCTCGTTGTCGCTTTTGCCGAGTACAGTACTTCCGTCTTGGGGCTCGACTGCTTTTCTTGTTTTGTTTGTGCTTCTGTCGTTGTTTCCGATCCGTTTCTGCTTATGTCAACCCCCCAAATTGACGGGCATTGGGCGTCTATGGGATGTTGGTGGGGTCACACGCATAGCGCTTGCCATTTCTTTACCTTTTTGTGGTTCCGATGGTGTTGACAGCGTGGACATACCGGGATATGGTTCATTTGCACCGCTGCCACCCGATCGACTCATAAATACCCAGCGAAATGTACAAACAATCGCCGTGCTCCTTGGCTTTCCCAGGAACCCCATGAGTTTCTACAGCTCCGCTGACTCCGTTTCATGTACCAGTTTGTTAAACAAACTTTAACTGACGGTTCATGAGCACGGACAGGGCGGCGGTGTTTTTCATGGCTCTGTTGGCATGGTCTTTTACCATGCCCTGACCTTGCCTGAGGACTTTCTAATCCACACGCTGTCCCCAAGCAGGTTCTACGACGCGGGCATGCCGGCGGTAACGCCAACGTTCAACAAAACCCTGTCCGAGGAAAGCGAAGGCCTGGCGGACGTCTGGGCGAAGGCGGCGCAAACCGGGGAGTCAGAGCTGGCTAATCCGGAGGCGGCCAAGTTCGAGGCGTGGACCTCGCCGCAGAAGGTGTTTACCGCACAAGAGGCGGAGAGATCGCGCGCCCGCCTTGCCGATTTTCAAATCTAGATTGCTGCAACACCAAAATGGTGGTTTTGAAAAACATCTTGTCGGGAGGCTTGCCGGGGGTTCTGTCTGCACCGGATGGTTGTGGAACACTCCAGCGTTTTTTATACTCGGTCTAAGGAGGGGGGCATCTGTCCGTCATTTGGGGTGCGGGACATCCTCCCCGTCCCGCTCGTCTGCTGGCGGGATCTTCCTCACGCGGAAGTGCCCCGCTTGTCGAGTGCTCTCCCGTCAGCGCTCGTGACACTGTACCGCGCCTAATGGTGCTTTCGGACAGCGCCGCGTGGCAGGCCGTAGCTTTTGGTGTTGTTTTGATTCTTGCCGTGCTGTTACGCCAAGCTGTGGGTGTGTTGTTTCGAGCCGTGTGGTTCAGATGCGGCTTTGTTTGATGCTTGGACGCGGGCATCGATATCTGCGCTGTATGAACCCATTTTTGTGCTTGCGTGAAAGTGCACGTGCTTGTCTTTCGTGCCGAAAATGCGTCCACGTTTCTTGCAGTAGCTTGCCAGTACTGTTTTGACTGTGGGATCCGTCCGGCCGTATCGGGTCATGCGCTTGAAGTTGATTGAGTGCATACGCTTGAACCCGCCCCGCAGCAGGTGATAGTGTTGATAGGCTTGTTTCGCTTGGCGCCTTGGGTTGTATACAAGTAACATTTCTCTTGTAGAAAGGGCTCATCAACCTTCGCTCGACGGCGAAACAAGTCAAGTTGAATTTCGTGTTGCGTTTTGCCTTGATTGAAAGTTGCAGGTTTGAACCAGAGACATTGTGGAGGGCATGAGACATTTCGCCCATATCAATAGTTTCTAGCTGCAAATTGTTCCACCACGACGTTTTCTCGGGCTTAATTCGTTTGGATTTGATCCTCAGGTGACCTTCCTGCAGAGGTTGGTGGAACTGTCGTCGGAACGAGAAGGAGCGCCAACGGTTTCGTTCCCACTATCACTCATTCAGGTCCGTAGCCTGTCGGAGTATCTTTCTCATCAGTACCTTACATTATTTTCGTTCCCTTACGCCATGGCAGAATAGAGGGTGGAAGCTTCCCGCTTTTTCTTGGTCCAGGATCGAGAGTCTTCGTTGTCGTGTTTGGCTGAAATGGCTAACCTGCATGTAGTCAGCCAAGCAGGAACGCGTCCACCGTATCGCGAGCGTCACACGAGTAGTCCACGGATGACATTCACGCACAAGCTTACTGGGCAACGGCAGCGATTCATTTTTCCCTTAAAAATGATTGGTTCCCTGGTTGCAGCGTGTAGGGTAGACTTCATCAATGGGCTATCGTCATGTGTGTGGTCCGGTTGTGTGTCGCTTGTTTTGTCTTCAGCCAGTATGACCGGCTGGTGCACATATAACCACCTCTATCAAACTTCACGAACATACACTGCGTTCGCGGTCTGGGTGGTGTGCCCACGGTATGCAGGCGATGGACCAGGCGTATGGCCTGACCAAGACGGGCAACTCGGAGGTCCGCTTCTGCTGGCACAAGCTGTGCCTGAGAGCGAAGGCCCTCTTCATCGTCCCCCATGTCTTGGACTTCGTCACGTCGATGGTGAGAGAACAGCAGGGGGGGGAGGCCCGGCAACGGGCTTGCCGTCGGCAGTCGTGTTGCGCAGGAGGAGTGACAGCCACGCCACGCGCGGCACAACGTTAGCATGGGGTATGCATACGACTGGTGCACGTACTATCTTTGGGGCGGAGTGGGGCAGAGGTCCCCAGGAGTTGAACAGAACCCAAACAGCTCTTCCTCGTCTTGCCGCCGCACGCCATATCTTTTGGTGCTCGTGCGTCCGTGTTCGCGTTGGACGGCATGTTTCGGCAGGGGCGCATGAAGTTCACTCGGCCTCTGTACCGAGAGCTTTTCGCGTTAGACGGGGACACCAGGGTGACGGCCGTGAACACGTTCAAGGAGCGGGCATCTTTCTATCACCCCATTTGCCGATCAATGGTTGCCAAAGACATGATGGTGGAACTAGGTGAGAGAGACGGTACGAGTGGAAGCGGCGGCGCGGGTTCGGCGACTCGATCCGTTTTTCCAACAATGGTTATGAATGTTTCTGTGCTGCCGCTCCGTCGTGTTGCATGATCCCCTTTGGTCAACTGAAGATAATCGATCTGGAGTAGCAAGAAAGATCTTGACGCGAGTGTCTCGAGAATCGTGCGTTAGAGTTGGATATTCACCAGTTAGCAGCTAAGATTCCGGTAAAGACGCTAGGTGTGATTCAAAGCGAGACCGGGTGCGAAGGGTGGAATGAGTTGAAATGTTTGCAAGTGTTCAAGCTTGCTGCGGCGGTACCTAGCTCTTAGATCCATCGTCATGCCGCTGCCTGGCTCTGCCGCTGTGATTGTGCCTTGCCTATCGTGGATTCGCAGACGAGGGCCGGCGCACCCCCAAGCGATCAACGTCCTTGGCCTCCCTCAGCATGATGTCGCGCACCAGCAGCGATGTCAACTTCGGTACCGCCGGAGGCGCGGCGGCGGCAACAGCGGCGGCAGCCAGCGGCGCAGCCGCTTTTTTGAGGGATTTCCCGGGTCAAGGAGCAAGAGGCGGAGACACGGGCAATAGTGGTGACGCGAAGAAAAGGAAGGCAATAGCTGGGGCGGCGATTGTGATCGTGATGGTTTCGACGATGGTGCTGGTTTTCCGCCGCAGGAGAGGGTAGTAGAGTCGTGGGTGCCTTACGTGTTGAATGTCCCTCAGGTGGGAACGGTGGCCATGGTGGCGGGAGGCATGCGTCCGCATTCAAACCCAGGGCATCTGGCAGAACGGTAGTGCAAGGATCGCGATGAAAATGTTTATGCAACACGTTCAGTGCAGCCAATCGCCGATCTCCCCGTAGAGAGCAGATTATCTTTCCATGAGAACTTTAAAGAAGGCACCGCTCTTGGCGCTGGCTCTCCAATGGCCCCGCGGTGCGCCCAAGCAAGTTGAGTTTGCACACAGACCCGCAAAGAAAAGAGTTGTGCGCGTTGGACTACTTTGTCGAAGGCAATGCACTGATCTACCCGGGGACAAAGACTGCCATCTTCCAGGTGGTGAGCATGCTATTTCTCACCCCGATTTAAAAATATCGCAGGAACCCTTGGTTATGCCTTGGTGCACCCCACTCCCTACGGACACACGAGGTTCACCCCCGGCCATCACCGATACCGTACATTTGTTTTTGTTCCCCCGGGTCTCGGTAGCAAGATGTTCGGGCGAAACGGGACCCTAACCCTAGTGAATTCAACGAGCAGCCGCAACGGTCATTCCAGGAAAAACCATCAAATGCGGCCGGAGGAGAGCAGGAGGGAGATGGCAGAATGTGTAGCGAGACATGTGTCGAACTGAAATATTTGGCAAGAATACCGGCTGTATGTCTCCCGCTCATGCATTCTCTACGTCCCTTCCATTGCACTCTTCCGTGCGCTCGATGTTGTCATTTCTGTCTGCCAAATTGCGATTGACTTCGTTGTTTATTTCATCCCGCTCTTATATTTTCTTGTAATGACGAGAGTTCCAAGGGAAGCGTTGTCTCGCCACGACGATTTGCAGCAGCAGGCTCCCGCTGCCAACGATATCGCCTGGCAAGAGATCCGCGGTGCTTGTGCGAGCCTCGGGAAGGAGCACGCAATTTCACTCCAACATCCAATGAGAGCACCATAGAGGTCTTCACGGTGAGCTCTTCGGGGCGTCATCTGGCGCCGAAAGGGTCTCTCTCGTGATGTAGACAACCCCATGAAAGTCGCTGTCCCTGGTTCGCCCTTGGTCTTCAATTCCTCACGCACTCAACGAGTCCCACCTGAAAAAATGCGTTGTCATTACCCCATTAGCCATGTCTCACGCAAAAGCCTATTCACGTTACGGTGCCATTTTGAAATCGCCACCAACAATGTTGTCAACAGAGCCTTGACGTGCGTCGCAGCAGCGAATTTCGGGTCAAACCCCTTCTACTGTCTGCGCCCAGCTACCCAAGAAGGAAGCCCAGTAAACCCTTCTCCAATGTCCTATCATCCCGAGCCGTTTCGGGCATGTTATCAACAACATTTTTACCTCTTGGCTGATTTACGATCTTTTGCAAGTAGTCGATTTCTTCCTGAGTTTGGGCCAAATCTGGATGACGTGGACCCAGTGCCTGCTTTCTGATCGCCATGGCCTCCTCCAGGAGGGGAAGGGCGTCGGCGTGCTTGCCCTGGGGGTGGTTGAGGGTCAGGGTTGAGGATCTAACACATTCAAAAGCAACGACGGTAGGCGAAGTACCAATGTGGTCCAACACACACAATGCTCAAAGCGAGGGCGGCAATGTCGGCAAAGATTGGTACTCGGTGAACCTGTCGGTCTGTGAAGCACTATTCCTGGGATGGTAGCGCAATATGATGGTCTGAGACCTTTCAACTCCTTCCAGCGTGGGCAATTGAGACGTTTTGTTAACCTACCCACAAAATGGTTTGCAAAATCATCTCTGCTTTACACACTTAGCGTGTGATAGTGAAATTTCGCCCTGACGTTCTTTACGTATTTACGTAGTACGTGTCGCCAGGCACATATAAATAGAACACATACATGTCGCTGGAGCTCACATGCTCCAAACACGAAGTTTCCCGTGTACTCCTTTTTTTAAGTATTTGACAATGTTCGCTCCTATTCTGTTGGTGGCGTGGGCAAAACACAAGAAGCAAGGCCAAGATGCATCATCCAAAGCTCTTCACCAGTACATTATTTGGTAGTAGTGGAGCAATGGATCCTCACCGGCCAAAGTGGGCGATTATCTTTGTTTCGGAAAGAACTCGCACCCATCACCTCAAGTGCGTGGCGCATACTAAAGCGACGCTTCGGGCCCCAAACTCGGGTAGGTACCTGTCTGTGCGGAAAGCAGGGACGCCCGATTCGGGGATGTACCTTACATAATCTGCGACGTTTGGCTTCGCGCACGGGCAGCAAAATGCGCACGCGGGTGGAGCCCTCTCGAACGACCGGCGAGCGAGGTCGCCTTCGTTGCTAGTTCTGTTGAAAGGGTCATGCGATCTCCGGACACAGCTTCTTCCCATATTGATATTCGACGAGTATCGGACAGACTGCCCTGCTGGAACTGTGGTTATTTACTTTTCTCCGTGCAGACGAGGTTTCCGGAGGATACATCTTTCAAGAAAATTTGACATGTTCTCGAAGAACTTTCAGGTACTGACACTATTGGGATCCCACGTGGGACGTCCCATGGGACAAGTGGGCCGTCCCATGGGATGGCCCATACGGACGCACGGGACACGTGGGACGTCCCATGGGACACCAAATCTAGAACGTGGGACGCGTGGGACGCCCCATGGCACCACGCTAGGGACGTCCCACGCGGCGCTCGAAAACAGGCGTGGGACGTCCCAGACGGTCTCCCCTACGGGAGGTCGGATTACCAATCGTGCGAAAGGATCTTTAGGGGGTTCGGGGGTCGGGTTTCCGGAAGGTTCGGAAAGCATGCCGTGCTTTTTGGGCGCGCACGCGGTTCTTGACGGTTTGGAGGTGGTACTCGGCTAGCTCAGCTCTGCTAGCTTGCACACTGAAGCCCGAGCTGTGCAGGCTTGCAGAGCCCGCCTGCTCGTATGTTCTGTGGAGTATGTTCCTGCGCGCACAGGGGACTCATGGTGTGTAGGGGAGGAGAAGAATGCTGCTAGAAAAACATGTCAGGACCGCCGAAAGCAAACAATTAGTCTACAATCAATGTAGACTGTTGTCGGGGGCACCAATTTGTATGTGCGCGCTACCGGGCTGCCGGCTGTTCGGTAGGGCGTGTACTGCTGCTGTACGAAGAGCGAGTGGAATATCTAGCTGAGTCTAGCTGAGTCTAGGTGCTGTAGGTCTAGGCCGGAACCGCTTTCTGTGCTGTACACGAAAGAAACAACCGACTGCCCCGCAACGCTAGATAGAGGTAGGCGCATCAGCATCCAGATCTGCCGCTGCCATCTGCTTCCAGATTGATAGCTTGCCAACGTCCAACCAGGCACAACACTGCACAACAACCCATACGACGTCTGAAGAAGCATGTTTCCCCCAATCCCCCACAGCCACCCTATAAGGCGTCGAAGTCCTACCCATTTCCGGCTCAAGCTAGACCTAAACAAGGTATGACACAAGATATCACACCCCCTCGACCGATTTTCCAAGCTCCATTCTTTCACAGCAGAAGCGTGGCAGCGCCGGAAACGGCGGCGTTGAAGCCGCTCTGTCAAGAGCCTTCTGAAACAGTCGTTTCATGCACGCATTCTCTTCGTGGAGTAATTGATGTTTGAAAATCGGTCCAGGTGGGTAGGCTGCTGCATTTACAGGCACACATCGCAGATGATCTGCTCCAATGTAGGTTGCAAATGGCAGATACTAGATTCAACACCTTCCCATGTCGAACTATCGAGAAAACCCCAAAGTTTTTGCGCAGGGTATATTGGGGAGATATTATACGAGTGTATTATACACCAGGTTTGAGCGAGTCGTCGCCACGTTGTTTTAAGCATACTTACTTGTAGACTTACTTCATGTAGGTTGAAGGGGGAGTTGGTTGAAGGGGGAGTTGCAGGAGGGGAGAGAGGAGCCGACATAGTCTCGCCGATAGCCTGCTTGTTAAGCTTTGGTTTAGAAGGGGTGAACGCGGAAAGAAAATAACATAGCTTTAATATATACCGGAATAGTCGGAGAGATAGGACCGGTCTGAGAGGTGGCACCGGTCGGGGAGATGGCACGGGGTTGCTAAAAAAATACGAGAACGGCCCGATTTACATCCATTTACGCACCGGGGTCAGTGAGATTGCACACCGACCGCCAAACCCAAAGATTGAGCTCATTTTCAGCTGCCGGAGTGAGGTACATGTGTGTTCCATATACATGTGGGGATGGTGTCAGCGGAGCGCCACCCCTGCATGTACGTATGCATGGTCGCGGTTCACACGGGATGCCAGTTGATTTCATATTTGAATTGGTATGGAAGTTGCCAACCGTATTCTCTCAACCAGACACACAACGTACAAGCCACATCCTACCCCACCTTTCACAACACGAAGCTATTGTTGCTTCGTACGTACTGGTATCCGTAGAGGAACACCGAAACGAAAGCGGAAGACAACTGATGCCGTATGTACCAGTACCTCAGATGGAAACGACACCCTTTCTTGTCGTCACTCTATAGCCAAACTCGCATCAAACACGACACCACTCGCTGTATGGAAAGCTGTTGCGTACCAGCCTACGTTGCCGTTACCGGTATGCTCCCAATCATACAACACCTGTGTGTATTTCATCGGAGATCGCACCGGTCGGAGAGATCGCACCGGGCTGCCTTGGAAATGTAATCAAAAAGATCTAATTGCATTCCCGCACCGGGGTCGGAGACATGGCACCGGGGCGCGATAAAAACTCAAGGAAGAACATTTAAAAAAACGATCGCACCCGGTGCCATCTCTCCGACCATTACGGTATCTCGAAACGGCATGTACGTACCACAAGTCCAGGACGAAATGGTATTGAATGCCAAAACGCAACCTAAAAATTATTGCCAAGTGGGCAAGTGGGCAAGTGGGCAAGTGGGCAAGTGGGCAAGTGGGCACCAGACAACTTTCTTGGACAGAACACAAAATAATTTCTACCCTCATCCGGATGGAACGCAATGAGCCGAACCCAATGGTAGGTAGGTCTGCCTTGTTTTCGATATAGGATCAAAAACGGTTCTTCGACAATTCGTTACTTTCACATTTGGGAACAGGTCTGGTTGTCCTTGGATACGCATCTTTCAAGCCAAGGCTCGAAGGCAAAAGATACATCGCGCTCTTGGAAACACAAAAAACAGCGAGCAGTCGATAGTACTGGAAGTGCTGTGAAAGGCTGACAAACGGAACGTCGGTGGGCTCGGAAATAGTTCTT